AATTTTTTTTTTTTTTTTTTTTTTTTTTTTTTCATTATTCCTATTTCATTATACATTTTTACTTTTTTAACATTTTTCTTTTTTTAACATTTTTCTTTTCTTTTCTAAAATTATTAATAATTAAAAAAATTTTAATTAAAATAAAATGCTATAAAGTGAATAAAATTATATTTTTTTTTTTTTTTTTTATTGTGTTGTATAAATAAGATTTTTATGTAAATAGTAGAAAAGATGCTTAGAGAAAAAAATGAAAAAATATTTATGTCAAATAATTTTTGTACTTCAGATAATATTAAGATAGTATCTGTAATGGAATTAAATAAAATAAAATTAGAAGTATGAATAAATTGAAATATAAAAATAAAAAATGTTTTTATTATAAAAAAAAAAAAAAAAAAATAATTTATTTTAATTGAATTTTTTTATAGGGATATATGAGAAATATAAAAATTGAAAATCTAAAATATTTAAGAAGTGTAGAAACATTAAACTTAAGCAACTTTTATTTATTATATGTTTACCTTAAAGACATTTACTATATATTTTTTTATTTTATAATTCATTTAAATAAAGATGAAAATATTCTAAAAGAAAAAGAAATTTTAAAAAATTATTTTATTTATAATACTAGAATTGAAAATTTTAATAAATTTTTAAAATGTTTAAAATATTTTATTTCAGACATATTAAATTACAATATTCCTCTAAACATAGATGAATATAGAGAAGTTTTATTGAAACAAAGTAATAATTCTAATAATGATAATATAAAAATTCATAGAGAAAATGAGAAAAAAGAAGATGAAATTGAAAATTATAAAAGTGAAAGGATAAATGAAAAAAATAATTCTCAGTATTCTGATTATATAAATGAATTTCTAAAGTTCTTATATACAAAAGAACAAATAGAGTTTTTTAATATTGATGAATTAGTAAATGATAGAATAAAAAAAGATAATTTTTATGAGAAAAAAATTAGAGTAAGTAATAATATTTCTATTTATAAGCTTTCATATCTTTATTTTAATGATAAATTAAAAAGAATAAGACTAGATTATATTTTTCATCTAATATTGTCAAAAAAATTAAAAGATAATAATATTAAAGATGAAGTAGTTCAAAACGAAAATTTAATTTTTTTTTACATTTATGAACAGTTGTTTTTATTATATATTTCGCATTTTAAATACTATATTTTTTCTTTTTTTTTATATTCTTATGTAAAGTATATAAAGAATAGTAATAATAAAAATAATAATACCAATCAATGTGAATTTTTATTTAATTCTGATGATAATATGAAGAATTTGTCAAGTTTAGTTTCTTATATTATGAGCTTCATAAATAATGTTTTAACACGTTTAAGTGTTATATTAAAAAAGGAAAAAATAAAATTTTATGAGAATATTTGTGAAAAAAGTGAAGAAATATATAATTATGACATAATTAATGAAATATTAAAAACAAAATTTTTTTTTAAATATGTAAGTGCTCAACACATTGACTTTGTTTTATCATGTGTTATTTTATTAAATATATGCAATCAAAATTTTATGCAATCTTATTTTTACTTTAATAATATTTATGATCATTTTTTTTATGTTTTTAAAAAATACAACACTTCTATAAATTTGTGGAAAGAACGTAAGAAATATAATTACTTTGTCTTTTTCTTTTTTATTTATTTTATATAATTTTTTTTTTTTTTTTTTTTTTTTTTTTTTTTTTTT